GGGCTGGGGTTACTAAAAACCGCTACAATATTGTTAATAGATTTATTATGTTAAATAAATGTTATGTGTAGTTTGTAAATTTGATTTTCTAATGACCTTGAATTATTTGATTCCTTCGTCCCGAGCCTTTGCTGGCCAACAGGCGGGACCCTGCCGCGCGCACTCCGGCCCCGCCGCCGGCTCCGGCCTCGCTGGGGGCGCCCGCGCCACGTGGGGGCCGCCGGGCCGTGCTGCCCCCTGGCGGCCGGAGCCGGAGGCCCCGAGGCCGGCGCCGCACCTGGCCGCCCGCGGCCGCTCTAGGAACGCCGGCCTCTCGGTGGTGGCGCGGGGTCGCCGTCGGGCGCCTGGGAAGGGCCGAAGCCGGGCCGCTGCACCCGGAGACCAGCCAGGATCCCGCGTTTTCTGGTTTCCCCCCACGCCCGGCCCGCTGGGGCCCGTGAGTGGTGCAGATGCGGGCGGCTGGCGCGCACACAAAGGGCCGGTCCCTGGGCCCTGCAGGGTGCCACGGAGCCGAGCGAGCCCCATCCCGAGGGCGCAAAGCCACCTCGGAGGAGAGGGGTACAGAGGCAGTGCGGGGGGCGCGGGGACAAAGAAAGGAGGGATGGCCCCAGGAATTTACCCGAGCGAGCGGCAGCGTTTATAAAATCCTTTCCCGGGCGGCAGGTCCTTTTAACGACTGTCAGTTAAGCTAGTGGCAGATGCATTTCCACCATGTGCAGGTGGGTGCACCTTGAGGAGCGCCCTGGTGATGGGCTGGGCCTTTCCTGGTCCTTGAAACATTTTCAGATATTTGTCTAGTTATGTCCAAGAGGTCGACTTGCCCTGTCAAAGGATATGGACACTTTTTTAAAGGCTTTTTATGCATATTGCCAAACCCGTCTCCAGAAGGGCATCCGTTTACACTTGTTCTCTGGTGGGTACCTGCAGGCAGAGGTGGGAATCGGGAAGGCGGCCCCTTGAGGGAGTGGGAGGACACAGAATCACCTGGTTCCTGGTGAGTAATGACCATGGCATCGGAACGGTGGCCTGGGCCAATATTGTGAGGCCTGACTCAATGCTTTGAGAATGTTGGGCCAGCGGAATCATTTGAAAATGCACATTTGCTCATGGTGTTCTGTGGTGTTTGTTTTGTGTTTTGTTTTGTTTTTTGGTTAATCCTCACTGGTTGGTTGGTTGCCTCCTCCTTGACCAGGAATTGAACCTGTGACCCTTCTGTGCACAGACAGATGCTCTCACCACTGAAAACACCAGCCAGGGCCCTAAGAGTAGTGGTTCCCGTTGCTCTTGGGGTAAAATCCAGAATCTCCTGAGGGCCCACCAGGCCCCGCCTGCCTCTCCAGCCCTATCTTGGGCTGTGTATTTGTTTATTAGTTTCCTAGGGCTGCTGTCACCAAGTAACACAACGTGGATGGTCTTATACAACAGACATTTATTGGCCAGATAGAAGTTCAAAATCAAGGTGAGGTCACCGTTGGTTCTCACTGGAGGCTCAGGGAGAATCCATTCCACACCTCCCACCCAGCTTCTGGTGGTAACCTTTGGCGTCCCTTGGCTTGGAGACATATCACTCCAGTATCTGCCTCCAGTGTCACCTGGCTTTCTCCTTGTGTGTCTCTATCTCTGTGTCTCTTCTTATAAGGACAACAGTCATATTGCCCTAAGGGCCTACTTACTCCAGTATGACTTCATTTTAATTTAATTACATCTGCAATGACCCTATTTCCAAGTGAGGTCACATTCTGAGGTTCCTGGGAGGACATGAATGGTAAGACACGATGCAACCTCCAAGACGCCCTGGCCCTGGCTCCACCCAGGCTGCCTGGTCCTCCTGGACTACTCATCTCCTAACTAGCTTCCCTCCCTCCTGCAGGGTGTTGTGGAAATGTCACTTCCTCAGAGAAGCTCTCCCGAACCTATGACACGCGTGTCAGAGGTGACATGCAAACTCATTTTTTTGGTTGATTTTTCTTTGTTAAATGGCATTTAAATATATAAAATAAATATCAAAAATATAAGTCTTTGTTTTACTATGGTTGCAAATATCAAAAAATTTCTATATGTGACATGGCACCAGAGTTAAGTTAGGGTTTTTCAAAATGCTGACACGCCGAGCTCAAAAGGTTCGCCATCACTGGACTAGGGTCACCCTGCCCTGGTCTGTGGGCTCACAGCACTCATCACATGGTAATTGAAGAGGTATCTGAGTGACAGTGGGTCACCCTTGCATGTGCCTCCTCTGCTATAATATGGCCTCCACCAGGACAGTAACAGGCCAACTGGAAGAACAATAACAAACCTAAAATCGTGGCCAAAGAGGCTATCACGATAGGACAGGCCAGAGATGACAGGTCCCAGGAAACCCACTGCAGAAAGCCCATGAGGAAGGCCTCAGAGCAGTGGCCCCTGCACATGCCCGGAGATAGGTCTGCATTCAGACCAGGCTCCACCCTTCGCTAGGTGGCACATGAAATAAAACCCACCGCTGACCATGCCTTACAAGGCCCTATATTGTGACCTGCCTCACCTCCCTGACCTCTGCTCCATTCTGTCCTGCTCTGTCCCTTCCCTGCAGCTGCACTATTACTGTTTATGCTCCATAATCCTGCCTCGCTAGTTCCTGCCTTAGGGCCTTGGCAGTCATTCTACCCATAGCCTGGAATGTTCTGTATCCAAATTTCTACATACTGGTTTCTTATCAGTCAGACTTCAGCTCAAATTGTCACTTCCCTGAGCACCCCATCTAACTTCCACCGTCTTCCATCACACCACCCTGCTTTACTAGTATTTCCCTACAGTGTTTTCAGTGTCTGCGGTGATCTGGTTCATGTATTTGCTATCTGCCACCGTACACCTCTCGGAATAGAAGTTCCATGAGGGCAGGGACCGTGTTTGTTTGCCTTGTTCACTGCTGAGCCCTCAGTGCCTAGAGTAGAATTTGGGATGCAATGGGTCCTTACTGTTTGTTGAATGAATGAAAGTGACTTAACTTTCATTCATTCAACTTGTTGGGGAGCACACAAGACTTGGTTGGAAAGTTTTTAAGGAGGTCATTCTGAGAAAAGCGAAGTGCGCCAAAGGCCACCTGCCCTGTTTATCAGAATTCTGACTTAGGAGAATGCTGAATGACCTATCCAAACAAGTCTGTGCACGTGCAGACCCCCAGGTGTTTACTGGAATCCTTATGCTTAAATCTTTGGGTGTCCTTGCTTAAAGAATACTACAAACATGTGTGTTCTCCCAAGATTACTTACCCTACTGATTGTATCTTAAGATAAACTTTATCTCAAACTGCTGTTACAATAAAAGCCTAATGAGACAGGCAATCGAGGCTGCCTGGTTCCTTTAGCCAGGCAGTCCCTTAGCCCTCTCTTTCACAGCAAATGTGTTGGAGTAATCCATTCATTCTTCACTCAGGGTCTGCTGGTCAGCCCTGGCATCAGTTGAATGTTTTTCATCTGTAAAATAGGGGTAATCTTAGCTACTTCATGGGAGACAACAATTTTACCTGCTTCAAAGAGTTCTTGGGAGGAAGCTGTCCATGCAGTGCTCCCAACAGAGTAAACACTCGACATATGTGAGCCTTGATTAATGTCTTAGATTGACACACATCCTAACTGGAGAGGTAGTAGACAGCAGATGAAGCTATGTCCTCATCTGCAAAAATGGAAATAAATATCTGTTTAAAAGCTTGAATGAGCTCTCACTGGTTTGGCTCAGTGGATAGAGCGTCGGCTTGCAGACTGAAGGGTCCTGAGTTCGATTCTGGTCAAGGACATGTACCTTGGTTGCGGGCACATCTCTAGGGGGTGGTGTGCAGGAGGCAGCTGATTGATGTTTCTCTCTCATCGATTTCTAACTCTCTATCCCTCTCCCTTCCTCTCTGTAAAAATATCAATAAAATATATTTTGCCGAAACCGGTTTGGCTCAGTGGATAGAGCCTTGGCCTGCGGACTGAAAGGTCCCAGGTTCGATTCCGGTCAGGGGCATGTACCTTGGTTGCGCGCACATCCCCAGTGGGAGATGTGCAGGAGGCAGCTGATCGATGTTTCTCTCTCATCGATGTTTCTAACTCTCTATCTCTCTCCCTTCCTCTCTGTGAAAAATCAATAAAAATATATATTTAAAAAAATAAATAAATAAAATAAAAAATATTTTTAAAAAATTAAAAAAATAAAATAAAATAAAAGCTTGAATGAGTGCTATATAAATTATGCATATTTCTCAA